TCTTTTTTCTTTTTTTTTTTTTTTTTGAGACAGGGTCTTGCATAGCCAAGGCTGTCCTAAAATGTGTAATCCTTCTGACTCAGACTCCCAAGTGCTTCAAAAGGCAGGTGTCAGAATACCTGGGTGTGACATTTCACTATTTATTTATCTGTCTGTCTAGCTAATTATTTATTTATTATTTGGGTTTTTTTGAGGCAGGGCCTAACTATGCAGTTCAGGCTAGCCTCAAACTCACAACAATCCTCCTGCCTCAGTTTCCCAGTGCTGGGATTACAGGTGTGAGGCATCATGTCCAGCTGATATAACTAAGAGCTAAAGTTTAGGGAAATTGTTTTAAATGTATATTTATTATTTATTTAGTGTGTGCATGTGCACACTCATGCGTGCACATGTGCTGTGGAGATCAAAGGAAAACTTGAAGAAGTCAATTTTTTCCTTCCTCGAGTGGATCTGGGGAATCGAACTCAGGTCATCAGACTTGGTCCTTCTACCCTGTTCTCCATTCTGCCCATCACACCTCCCCCCCCCACCCCCCACCCCCGCCCCCACTTTGAGACAGTGTTCGCTGTGTAACTTCACCTGGTAGGGGAACTCACAATATAGACCAGGCTGACTGAAAACTCACAGAGATCCCAAGTGCTAGGCTACTATGAGCTAAAGAGTGAATTCCAGGTCAGCCTGGCTACACCAAAACTTTGTCTCACCAACAAAGCAAAAAATGTAAGCAAAGCAAAACAATAGCAACAGCAGAACCCCAAAGTCTCTGAGGCTCAAATACTTGAGCAGGGAACTGAGTCTCTGTTGTAGCCAGCTCGCCGCAGTGAGGGTCAGAATCATTATCCATCTGCCTATCTGATCGGGTGCCTCTGTTCTGGTGAGTTGGCTACTGCCTTTTTGAGATTCAATCCTTTCTTTGTATTCCATTTCTTTCCATAAACGCTGTCGTGACGTTACGAGCAGTGTTTCGTGAGGGACAGATGATGTCAGCTGCTTTTTTATTCACGTTATCTTAATCCTCTGAATTAGCCTATTGGGGGTTTACATACAGGAGAACCGAGACACAAGTTGCAGAGCCGGGCTCACCCGACTCATTGTGTTAGTTTGTCCCCCTCACAGCCTCTGTAAGAAAGCAAAAACAGCTCTTCTGCCCTTCACTGGGCCCACGTTCACTGCCTGTGTTCAGCTCTTAATGATCAGAAGACCCTCCTGCCCTTTCCTTTCCAAGAACCAGTTATGCCAAGAATATTTTGACAGGCATTTGCTTCTGTAATTTATATTAAATACAATGTTTATTTGTCCTACTTGACTCAAAAGCAACTTGAGGAGGAAATGGTTTATTTCATTTTACAGATTACAGTCAATCATTTGTGGTGATATTTTATTTGGGCAACCCAATAAAGTATCTGAGGATCAGAGGAAAAGACAGCCACTATATTAAACATAGAAATGGTAGCACATGCCTTTAATCCTATCACTTGGGAGGCAGGGATCTGTCTGGATCTCTGTGAGTTCAAGGCCACACTGGAAACAGAGCCAGGTGTGGTGGCACATGCCTTAAATTCCAACACGAGTTAACCATAAAGGTTTGGAGGTCTAGACAGACAGACAGGAAGTGACAGAGCTGGGCAGGAAGAAGAAGTAATGTAGCTGGACAGAGAGAGAAAATGAGATAACAGAACAGAAAGGCATATAGGCATGGGTATACAGGAAGTAGGTCGCTTTTGGAAGCTGAGGTGTCGGTGAGGTTAGATTGGCTTGTGGCTTTTCCTATTCCTGTGATCTCTCAGGTTTTAACCCCATATCTGGCTTTTTTTTTTTTTTTTTTTTTTTTTTTTTTTTTTTTTTTTTTTTTTTTTTGTAATAAGACCGTTTAGCAACTCATCTACAATCATTGAAGAAAGTAAAGCCAAGAATTCAAACAAGAACCTGGAGGCAGGAACTGAAGCAGAGACTATGGAAGAACCCTGTGTGCTGACTTGCTCTCTATGGCTTGCTCAGTTCACTTATTATTTTTGTTTGTTTGTTTTTTGTTTTTCAAGACAGGGTTTCTCTGTAGCTTTGGAGCCTGTCCTGGACTAGCTCTGTAGCCCAGGCTGGCCTCGAACTCACAGAGATCCACCTGCCTCTGCCTCCCAAGTGCTGGGATTACAGGCGTGTGCTACGACCGCCTGGCTGCTCAGTTCACTTATATGATCCAGAACTACCTGCCTAGGGGTAGCATTGACCATGATGGCTAAGCCCTCCCACATCAATCATTAATCAAGAAAACACCCCATAAACATGCCCAAGAAGGCCAGGAGAGGACACTGGAACCCCTGGAGCTGGAGGTGGTTGTGAGCTGCCCGATGTGGGTGTGGAAACTGAACTCTAGTCCTCTGGATGAACAACACATTCTCTTAAACACGGAGCCATCTTTCCAGCCCTGTAAGCAGCTGTTTTTGAAGAAGGATCCATTCAGCAGCATTTTCCTCAGGGTCTTTATCCAGTGAATTTGTATTTTCACAAGTTGGAGCTATCAAGGGAACACCTGCTTTCTCTACACCTACCTTGTCTGCCATTTTAAGTATGTTCAAGATCCTTCCATCAAACTTCATTTTTCATCTTTCTGATTAAGAGTTGAGAGCACTGAGCAGTAGCCATTCTGCAGGCTGGATGTTTTCCTGCCATAAAATCCCTTGCCAAATAACTTAGTCCATTACCTTTGAGCTTAGTCTTAAATTTCAGGACACAGCCAGAATGCAGCCAAGCTCCTTTCCAGAATGGATTTAAAGGACTTCTAACCGGGGCGCCAATGGAGTCCTTGTTCCCTGCTGAATCCTTGTGGGCCAGGACTTCACTTACATTTCTGTGGACATTCTGGTCTTCTGAACCCCCTCAGTGTGTCTCATTAAGCTCTGCTTACAGCATTGTAGAGCTGTCCTAGCCCACAGTTCCAGACTCCCCCACATTGTTCCAATAAGCCAGTGTCAGGTTTGTTAGACTGGTCTCATTTCTGCTAACAATTTTGTGTATTATTTGCCTTTTTTGTCATTGCCACAAAATACTCGACCAAAACAAGGTAAGGAAGGAAGCTGTGGTAGTTTGAATGAGGCGGCTTGTGCAGCCCTGATATTTGAATAATTGTTCTGATTGGTGGGGCTCTTTGGGGCAGTTGAGGAGGTGGGGCATTGCTGGAGGAAGTACGTCCATTTCTAGTGTGCTGGCTGCTTCCTGCTTGTGGTTTGTGAGCTCTCGGCTGTTCCTGTTGCTATGCCTGTGGGTTGCCACACTTCCCTGCTGTGATGGTGATCGACGCCCAAACTTCTTGAACATAAGCCCAAATAAATATAAGTTGCCTTATATTTAAGTTGTCTCTCTTTGTAGCGGGGGGGTGAGGGGGGAGTGTAAGCTAGTCCCAAAGGCAGGAGTCTGAGAGAGCTGGTCACACTGTTTTTACAATCAGGAAGCAGAGAGATGAATGCTGGTACTTAATTTTCTCCATTAAAAAAAGAATATTTATTTAACACTTTTTACTACATTTTTTTTTTTTTTGAGACAAGACAGGGTTTCTCTGTGTAGCTTTGCACCTTTCCTGGATCTAGCTCTGTAGACCAGGCTGGCCTCAAACTCACTACATTTATTTATGTGTGTACACATGTGGGTGCTACCATGCACCTGTGGAGCTTGGAGAATATCACACAGTAGTTGGTTCTCACTGCCCACTATGTGGGTCCTGGGGATACAACTCAGGTCATCAGGCTTGGTGGCAAGTGCCTGTACTTGCTGAGCCTTCTCTCTCTAGCCATTATTATTTATTATTATTATTATTATTATTTTTCTGGAGCTGAGGACTGAACCCAGGGCCTTGCACTTGCTAGGCAAGCGCTCTACCGCTGAGCTAAATCCCCAACCTATTTATTATTTTTTTAAGGTTTATTTTATTTGTATTTATATGTATGAGTGTGTTTGTCTCTCTGGGTGTGCACATGAGTAAAGGTTCTGGAGGAGGCCAGATGAAGCTATCGGATCCCCTGGAGGTAGCTGGAGTCACAGGCACTCCACGTGGGAGCTGGTGACAGAATTGAGATCCTCTGCAAGAGCTGTATGCGCTCTTAACCCCGGAGCCATCTCTCCATCCCTTGCAAAAGCAATCCTGTCTTGGCTCCCAGCCCATGAGATGGTGCCACCCATTCAGGGGTCTAAGTTAAAGCTGCTGGAAAGTCCCTCAAAGACACACCCAGAGTTGTCTCCAAGTTGACAATGAAAATCTATTATACACTCTAGTAAGGACCGCCAGAACTTAATGTCAGGAGTGCCCGCCCATTTCTTTGTGCAAGCCGCTCCGTGACCTCTGGACCCTCAGTTTGCTAAGCTGTAAACCTAAAAACGATTAAAAAAGAAAATCCCCCAGTCCCCGAGTCTCTAAAATTCTGAGATGGGTACCACCTATCTTCCCAGCCAGTGAGATATGGATGCTTTGAGAGAGCAACTCGATATTTACTGTTCTGGAACCCAAGGCTGATGGTTTTCTCTGTCCTGAAACCTTCCTTGACTACCTGCATTCATTTTGGTTCCCCTAAACCAGACGTGGAGTTCCTGGCAAAGGGTCACTCTACTAGCCAATCCTAAAAAACCAGACTGACAATGCTTGGTGCACAGTTTTATGGAGCTGAACACTTTATGGAACGAAGTGATACCAGATCGGATGGAAAAACGTGAATACACTGGCGTGAACTTTTAGGGGAGATTTCGCCGAAAACTGGACTGTCAAATAGAACTTGTAGTCGGTGCAGGAGGTTGGGGAGTGGGAACCGCGGACACCTGCGGTTTGCGGGTTTTACGGTGGGCGGGGACACTCGCAGGTGGCTGGCGAGCCCGTGCAGGTGCCTGGGGAGGAGCGGCAAGCCCCTCCCACCCGGAAGCGCGCTCGGCGTTCTGCCCCGCCCCGCCCCGCCCACTCCGGGGGCCGGGCCCGTCACCACGATTGCGCGCAGTGCTTGGCGCGCGCGTGGGCGGGGCGGCGGCGTGCGCCGTGGTCAGCTGACTGCTCCGGCGGGCACGTGACTTGCTCTGGGCGCAGGGGTCGAGGAAGCCGAGAGGCCGGAGCTGAGGTCCGGGAGGGATGGAGCGCTGAGCGGTTAACGTCTGCCAGGCTTCCCACCCCCGCCCCCGCCGCCGCCGCCGCCGCCGCCTCCCGAGACACCTTCCCGGGTCCGTGAGTGGCAGCCCTGCCGGGAGCTGGCCCTGCAGTGGCCGCCGGGGAAGGACGGGGGCGGGCGCGGGGGCCTAGCCTGTGGCGTCGGAGCTGCAGCCCGGCCTGGGCGCCGGCTCTGCGCTCCTCTGGGCCTAGGGTTGGTGCCTCTGGAGGAAGGGGCCTTGACGGGGAACTCCGTGGCCGAAGGGAGAGGTCCGGCCCGTTCGGGTCCCTCCTGGCTTGGAGTCCCGGCGAGCCCTGCTCACTTGGAGGGGGTGGGAAGTACCGGAATGGCTCAGACGAGGGTCTGGGCTGGTGTGCGTGCAGTCTCCGCCGGGTGGTCTCGCCTGTGCCCGAGTGGAGGGAGTGACAGTCTCCAGGGCTGAAAGAGGTGCCTACCGCAGGCAGGGGGCGGTCACAGAGGACACAGGGTCACTGTAGGCAGTGGACGGGCAGCTAAAACCATTTCCCTAGGATGTGGGGAGGGTAGGCAGAATGCCCTGAGAAGGAACTTGCGGGCAGTCTCTCATAAGGCAAATTGAATCACCTATGAGGCATATGAGGGAAGCGAGTATTCTTTTCAGAGGAAAAATGTAATGTGTGTCTGTGTGTGTGGGGGGGGTGCGGGAGATGGCTGTTCAGTAGTTAGTGCTGCCCTGGGAGTGGAGTGGTGGGGTGTGAATAACCCAGCCCTAGGAGTCCTCACTGATGGTGAGAAGATAAGTCACAGGAGAAAGGATGAAGTTGTACACTAGTAAAAACAGAGAGAGGAAAGAAAACTTGAATCTGGGTCTTGGACTGGAGAGAACCGAGGAGAACTTTCTGTTCAGGAAAGCCCCAGACGAGAGGGAAGACGTGTTTCTGGGGTGCCAAAGGCCAGGTTTGAAGCAGGCTGCATTGTGGAGAATTGGGGAATAGTTTTGAGGCCGAGTGACACCTGCTGAGCTCATGAGTGCATGCCCTGACTGTACCAGATACAGTGAGGACGCCAGAGCTTAGAAAGCAGACTGGTCTCCGTTCTCGCAGAGTTTACAGACAAATATGGAGGAGGTAGGTTTTAATAATAGTCATACGAGTTGGGTGTGGTAGCCCAAACCTTTAATCCTAGCACTTGGGAGGCAGAGCCAGCCAGAGCTAAATAGTGAGACCCTGTCTCAAGACATAAAAATATTATGCAAGGGTAAAACGTGCTCTGAGGAGTACTGGAGTGGGGCAGAGGTGTTCCCCAGGAATCTTCGTGGAAGATTGAAGAAGGCTTCGCTGAGGAGAAGAGGTTGGTGTGCAAAGGGGATGAGCAGGCAGGAGGATTGAACAGAACATTCCAGGCTGGGGGAGCACCATCTGTCAAGGCCCTGGAGTGAGAGGATGAATACACCTTCCTAGAAGTTACGGGGGCCTGGGAGAGGGGAGGTGTGGTGGGGGTGGGGTGGACAGACTGGCAGACGTGCAGGCGTGTGTCGAGAGCTGGGTCAGGCTCCCCAGGGCTTTCGTGTTAGAGGCAAAGAGGACCCAGGGAAGATGCAGGCGGTGTAGAGCATCAGACCGTGGCTTCCGAAGACGTGGTTCTGTGAAGGTACAGAAGGATGTGTAAGTCAGTGAGAGGAGCTCAGGCGGGCGGTGCAGTCCACTGCAGGGCTTGGGGGTACCCCCTCTCCACACTGAGCAGTTCAGGGGGTGCTTAACCGTATCCCTCACCAGGAGGATTAAGGAATTGGGGAAGGGAAAGGAAGATGGCATCCCACCTGCCCCTTCCAGGAGGTAGTTATCACGGCGCTCTGTGTAGACCTGAAGTGTGCAGAGGAGGCTGGATCATTCTGAAGTTGGTTGGACGAGACTCTTGCCAAATTTTGTGGGCTTTTCCATTTATCCCTTTGTAATGTCATCTCTTGCCCTTTTCTGATTCACTGGGACTAGAAGCAAAGGAGCCAAGTAACTGGTCTAAGTCTAGCATGGTTTGGGGCCTCAGACGGAATTCATGCTGACTACCTAGGTAGCAACCACAGTCACATGTACAGAGAAGGGCAAGTGTTTGGAGGTGCATGATGCCTTAGATTCAGAGCTTTTGGTGAAACTGTACCTGGTTAGGACAGCTTCAAGGGGTTCTGCTGTTGCAGTCTGTGCTTTAGAAACTGCTTCTGGCCGGGTGGTGGTGGTGCACACCTTTATCCCAGCACTCGGGAGGCAGAGGCTAGCGGATCTTTGTGAGTTCAGGGCCAGCCTGGTCTACAGAGCGAGTTCCAGGAAAGGCGCAAAGCTACACAGAGAAACCCAGTCTTGAAAAACCAAAAAAAAAAAAAAAAGAGAGAAAGAAAGAAAGAAACTGCTTCTGTAAGCTGGACACAGTACAGACCTGTAATTCCAGCACTGGGAGGTGGGGCTGGAGGGCCCCTACAAGTTTGAGCCAGCCTGGCATATGTAGTGAGTTGCAGGCCAGCCAGGGCTGCATAGCAAGACCCTGTCTGGAAGAACTCAGAACTGATTTTCTGTGAGTGTGGGTAAAGGACTCCTGTGTACTGTAGCTGGAAGAGATGAGGAGCGACAGGGTGAGCCACGGTGCTCCAGGAGTGACAGGGTGAGCTGAGGTGCTCCAGCTGTCAATCACGGTTCTTTGGCAACAAGTGAGTCTCCATTGTGCTGAAGTCGGAGCCTCAGGTTTTTGTCACAGAACTACAGGATCCTTTTCCCTTTTGGTTCCTTTGAGATACTAGATCAGATCTCAAGAAATAGTACTCTGCATCCTGAATGTTGAGAGCTAAGTGGCTACTCTAATTCTGAATTTAAAACAAGGCAGGAAATAAACATTTTGTTTGTTTGTTTTGGTTTTTTTTGAGACAGTGTCTCACTATGTAACCCTGGCTGTCCTGGAACTCTTTTTTTATTATACAGTATTCTGCCTGCATGTATGCCTGTAGGCCAGAAGAGAGCACCATATTTCATTATAGATGGTTGTGAGCCACCATGTGATTGCTGGGAATTGAACTCAGGACTTCTCAAAGCCAGTGCTCTTAACCTCTGAGCTATCTCTTTAGCTCCTCTGGAACTCATCATGTAGATGAGGCTGACCTGGAACTCACAGAGATCTGCCTCTGCCTCCTGAGTGCTGGGATTAAAGAATTATCTTTTTTTGTGCACGCACATGCATACATGCTTATTTTTGTCTGTCTGTCTACCTATTTATTATTTATTTATTTATTTATTTATCTATTTATTTATTTATTTGAGACAGAATTTCTCTGTGTAGACCAGGCTGTCCTCAAACTCAGAAATATACCTGCTTCTGCTTCCTGAGTGCTGATATGCCTGTGTGTTTGTGTTTATAAAAATCTTAGCAGTTTCATTTACATTAGTTGTCATTGTCATTTTTAAACTTCAGGGTTTCAGAAATTAGATTCTGTGTTTATTGCTATAACTTGTAAAATGATGTCCAGTGGACAGGAATAAGACCAGCATGGCACACTAAACCTTTATAATGGGCCTCTGCTGTCCTCCAGCTCCTGGGTTGGTAGTTAGTCTTCTTTGAACCACAAATCCCAGGCTGGCCTAGAACCACCCATCCTTCTGTTCCATCTCCCAGATGCTAGGGCACGGTGTGCACTCCCTCTCCCCGTCCTTTGTACTTGATTCTGCTTAGGAATAGCAACAGTTTTGACTAAGTACCTTCTATATTGTCCTTGTACAGATTGTAATATGTCTGAGGGTGCATTGTTTTCACTGTCTGAATGTAGAGCTATATTTCATTTTAGCTACAAATTAATTTGCATTTATTTGATTTCCGTTTCATCAATGCTTTTTTGTTTGTTTGTCTGTTTGTTTGAGACAGGGTTTCTTTTTGTATCTTTGGCACCTCTCCTGGAACTCACTTTGTAACCCAGGATGGTCTCGAACTCACAGAGATCCGCCTGCCTCTGCCTCCTGAGTGCTGGGCTTAAAGGTGTGCTGCAGCACCACCACCACCACCACCACCACCACCACCACCACCACCACCACCACCACCTGGCTCATCAATGCTTTTAAGACAGCATTAGCATGGTGTTCTTGGAAAGAGCTTGGGCATTAAACCAAGGTGATCTGAAATTTCTTTTTGTTTTTGTTTTGAGGTAGGGTCATGTGTAGCCCAGGGCGGCCTTGAACTCCTGATCCTCCTGCCTCTGCTTCCCAAGTATCAGTGTCACAGACATGCATCACTGCACCCATCTTTCCCCTATAATCTGGGTAATGACGCGCATGTCCGATGGGATGTGTACTTGTAACAATACACTGCTGTGCAAATGTGCTGTGCCTTTCTTAGTTCAGAGGACGGAGTCGGGTAGTCAGTGGAGGGAGGTGCTTATGTTATAGCAGGATAAAAGATGGCTTGTTAGCTATGGATCTGAAGTGAGGAACAGGATTGTGCATTTGAAAATGGAATGTCGGGTGGATGCAACATTGGCATTTTGTAGAAAGAGGCTGATGCCGATTGTGATCCGCACCTTTAATCTCAACACTTGGGAGGCAGAGGCATGTGAATCTCTATGAATTCAATGTCAGCCAGGGCTACTTAGGGTGGGGAGGGAGTGAGGGAGGGCAAGGGGAGCGGCATTTCCTAAGCATTTAAAGCAGACTGAATGAATAGGAAGTTTTTTTCTATAAGTTAGCCCAATTAACTGGTATATTAACTTTTTAAAAGAAATTATTTTTTGGTTTGTGTGTGTGTTTTGTCTGCTTGTATGTTATGTGTACCTCAAGTTCCTGGTGCCTGTGGAAGACAGAAGAGGGCATTGGATTCCCTGGAACTGGAGTCGTGGAGTCTGTGAGCCACCGTGTTAAGTGCTGGGAACCGAACCTGGGTCTCTGCTAGAGCAGCCAGTGCTCCTGACTGCTGAGCTCTGTCCTCCTCACCACTTAGCGTGTGCTAGTCAGTGCTTCTGAGCTGTAATGCTCATGGCATTTTAGACATTTTAGACTGTCCTGCGTTGAGACTCACCCACCAAGTTCTGATTAGTGATCCTCACATCAGACAACTCGATATAGTCCTCTG